CTCTGCTGTGCAAAAAATAAAAAAGTGAATATAAAAAAAAATAAAAAATACACCCCTGAAAACGCTGGAATGCGCTTGCCCCGCAGCCACACATTCCTTTCCTCTGGGTTATCATTCTAATTTAGTTAAGGCATTAGGCAAATCAACATCTCCCACAGCAGCACAGCAGTGGGGAGAAGTAGCTGGAGGTGGAATGTGAATGAGCTAAGTTAAGGCAGACAGAACTGGGGCTTCGCTGTTAGCCTCAGGGTCAAAGTGATAATGTCTGAACTTAGCTGTGGCGGCCAGGCGGGCCCCACTGCATTAGCTGCCAACAAGTGTCCTGGTGCGGCCTGCTTTACGCTGACACAGAGACGGCAGGGTCTGCTCCCCGGCCGACCGAGAAGAAAACAAGCGTTATTTGCTGCGTTAAATCAGAACCCGTGTTCCTGGCGCATCACGCTCGTCTCACTTGTTTGCCTCGAGTTTGCAGTGGTCACACTGACCTTGGTGCAGTTTGTGGTGAATGAGATTGTTTTGCAGAAACATAATGCTTATTAGCCACTCAGAATACAAGCGGAGGACATTTTCTCTCCCTCTTTGGGAAACACGATTTGTTTTTTTTTTAACAACCTTTTGTTTACTGAGACTTGCATAATTTATTCTGTTATTCTTGGGGGTTTTTTCCTCTTTTTCCCTCAGACCTATGTGATGCTACTCAGCTTCCATTGCATTACAGCAATCTGTGAGAAATATAAATGCAAAAGGCCATTTTGACTCTCAGTTGATTGTTTCTGGTCTTCAAAGGTTCATGCAGGAGTGTGAAGTGTTGAGAAAAGCCCGAAAATAATGGAAGCATAAACACAACCGCCAGGGGATAAAAACTCTTAAGCATCAAGAATTCACAGAGAAAAGGCAGACATCTGAATGCTTTTATGAACATATGAAAGGAACGGGATCTCTTGGCTGAGCAGATTTATTTATAAAAAAAGAAGAAAAGAAAAAAACAAGACATAGGACAATAAAATCCACCAGGAAGAACTTGAACTGTCTGCTAATGCTGTTGACTTATCACAGTCCTTGACGCTTCACATCACATCTCGTGACATCCTGCTGATGGATATTATTTACTGAAGTCCAGGTGAGTATGAATTGATGTGTGGTTAGTGCAAAATGGCAGGAGTTTATTAAGTGCATCTCGTGAGAAGCAAATTTACCTCTATTCATACGAAGGCCATGTTAAGACCTTTCTCGATCACCTGTTTTCTTACTCTGGTACTGGCCAAAGAACACCATAAACATCTCGACTGTTCAAAACTCATAATTGTTCTGCTGATTCTCAAACTCCAGCTTTAAAATGATTTAAACAGCAACTATGTTTTCTAGATTGCTTTTCAACCTATGAATTTAGTTTTTTTTTTTTTTACCATTCAGCAATCTTACAGGAAACTTTGAGGCTTAAATTTTAACAATAGACTGAATTGGCGAAGACAATCACATTTACCGACCATGATGTTAAACGTGGACCTGAGTTGTTCTGAATGCAGTGTACTCTTTTTTTATGACAGTTTTTTTAATTATTATTTCATTTTATTGTTCGAACCTTGAATAAATATTGAGTGGTTGAGCAGGAATTGAGACCTTTTGCTGCATGTCTTCCTCTTTTCTCTGGCTGCCCATTTCCTGTCTAGTAACTTTCAATACAGGCCCAAAAAAATCTTAATCTTCTCATTGGTCATGTTTTCTGGAGGAGCGTGTAGCTTTGTTGTCTTTGCAGCAATCCCTCATACAGATCATGCATGTTGCGACTGTGGGAGAAGAAAAACTCACGCGTAACAGGAAGAAACCTGCAGCGGAACCAGAACCTGGGAAGACAAAGCTGAATAACCTGAGGTTATTCGACCACTGGGGCGATTGTAGACCTCCTGGTTTTCATGTTGGAAAATTCAACTTCCAAACACAGATTATGTTCTGTTACTTTCTATTGTTTCTGCCTCCCATTTCCATCTAGCCTCAGTCCCAAACAACCAGACCTGTTAAGTCATGCAAAACTTTCCTCCACAGTGTATGCGTCTCGAGGTTTGTGCCAGACCTCTGTACTTTTGCTGACGGCATGTCTCGCTGCTTGTGTCGGTGTTGATTTCCTGTCCCTTGGTAGCATGAGGTATGAGCCTGGCTTTGGCACGGCTTCTCTTCGGTCGGTTACTCTAAACGAATCTGACAATCGATGCTTGTTTGGTGCATACACAAGGTGCCGCTTTTTAACAAGCCTTAAAAATGAATACGCTCACTTTGCAGACCAAGCACACTTCCTGGTTGGTGTCGATTTCTTGAATAAGAGTAGGATATGCATTGCAATTTTTCCCGCATGTGTCATGCAAAGAAAATATTAGCAGACCGACTGGTTGTAAAATCCTGTACCAGACAGGTCAGTAGAGATGGTTGCTTACCTTAAAACCTGCAATGTTTGTACATCAAAGCTGGGTTATGTAACTTTTATTAAAAAAATATATTTTTTGGTGATAGTTTATGCTAAAACTGTCACCATTTGTGAAAAAAATAAATTAATAAAAAAATCAAGCTCCTCCTGGTGCTATTATAGACATCTGAAGAAATCCACTGAAGAAAACAACCAGTCAGAGATGGGAGGGGGGCCTTCGCGCTGTGCATCAAAACCGTGTACGTGTACCTTAATGGAACAATTTCCCCTTTTTCTTCAAAGCATTTCTCTAGTTAGCACTTTTTTCCTTGTCTCCTACTTTACTGTCATGACAGTTTTACAAAAAAATTGGGCTTTTTCAAATGTTTTTTTTTAAGTTACATGCTCCTTTTAATGTCGTCGTTGTGCTGGATAACAATCTCTTTTGAAATCGCGCTACAGAAACCTCCCATTGCACGGAGGGCGCGTAAACGTTTTCCATCTGTAATTGTGACCGTCTGCATTCAGAGTGAGCAAATAACTCCCAGCATGTTCTGTGAACACAGACAGATGACCGGGCGGATCGTGTCTGGCTCTCGCAACAGGGCCACATCCACATATTTCTGTCTGGTCTGTGTCCTCCCACTGAATATGTTCAAGTGGGCAACACCCCAGAGTGGGACGGCTAAAAGTGCGGCAAGCCACTGACCCAGGTTAATATGATTAAAATGCTTTTCGGTGCCAGCGTCGGCAGTCGCAGAGGCACACGGGGTGCTGAATGCTGAAAACAGAGCAGAAGTCCTCAGAGAGTCTTACAAAGCAGCCTTGGGTGGGGAGGGGAGGTGTGTGTGTCTTTGTTGTGTGTGTGTGTGTTTGTGTGAGTAGCTGCTGTATAAGCAGCTGTGCTGAGGGCAGATCTGAGGCTGCAGAGGAAGCTGTAACTGTGATTTCCCCACAGTCTGTTTCTGCAAACCCTGAATAAAATTCAGCACCTTTTTGTTAAAAGAAAAAAAAAAGGTGCAGCAGAAATTCTAATTATACACGCTGCATATACAAAAGAGATGATTTTGAATATACCAGTGAGACAAAGCTGGAAATCACAATTTCTGGGCCAGACGAAAAGGTGACCGATCTGCGACAGGAAGAAAGCGACGGAGCCATCACACAAAGGTGAAAAGGATAATCACAGATTGTTTTTTTTATATTATTATTATTACTATTCCCCAAAATGCATATCAGATGTCAAAGGCTTTTAAAAACCAGCATTAGCACCTTTGGCTGCAGATCCCTGCGATGATGCTGAGTAAAACCTTTTGATTTGTCTCATCTCGAAGCTCATCGAGGAAAGTAACAGCCTCCATTTACACAAACTACAGTTTAAACTTCTCCTCTCTGTTTGATTGCAAAGCTCAGAACGAGCCACGGAGGTCTGGACAACGCTCCAGAACTTTGGTGGTGCCAAGACATCGAAGTACACGGCCAGCATCTTTGTGCAGGATCTGTTACCGCGTTAATTAGCTGGTTGTTACAGGAGGCAGATTACAGAGGGAAGTCCTTAAAAGCCACAGCATGCCTCTATGAAACAGATGTGTTTTAATAATCCAGGGGAGGTTTTGCTCTCTGCAGGAATCTGCACTGTTAAATAAATAAATCTTAAGTGTTGCAAGCACAAGCATCCAGGCCCTTTTTACTCTCATACCCATAAATAGATTCAGAATAGAATAATACAAAAAAGAGTAGAACTATCAACACACAAGTGTAACAGCAGCATCTAAGGTATGCTGCTGCATAAAACATTGAAAAGTGCCAAAAAAAAAAATATATATATATATATATATATGTATATATATATATATATATATATATATATATATATATATATATATATATATATATATATATATATATATATATATATATATATATATATATATATATATATATATATATATATATATAAACTTATATATATAAACTTATATATATATATACTACTTGCTGCGTCCCTCCTGACGGGAGGAGGGACGCAGCAAAAAAAAAAAAAAAAAAAAAAAAAAAAAAAAAAAAAAAAAAAAAAATATATATATATATATATATATATATATATATATATATATATATATATATATATATATATATATATATATATATATATATATATAAAATGTATAACCCCGGAGAGTTGGAAACTGATTTTCAGTTGACTTAATGCCAGTCCAGATGTGCAGAAACCGATGGTACCCGAAAGGACTTGCAGCTGTTTTGTGTTGACTCAAGGGGTTGAATATCAGCGCGTTCCTCACTTTTTAGCTCTTTTCTCTAAAAATGTACAATCTCGAACTAGAACGTTTTGGGGCCGGAATGAGACAAAACTGGAAGGGTGCGGGTGGGGGCAACAAAAAGTTGACACTCTCCTTCCCCCTGTTCACAGAAGAAGATAACGCCGCGTTAGTTTGAAACGTGCGACCTCTGGACGAGAGTCGCTTAATGCGTGCAAGGGCGGTTGCATAATGGTCAGATTTAAGTCGCAGTGCACGGAGAGCGTTCCCACCTCGCATCACCTATCATCTTCACGCACGTTTTCACAGTTTCACTTAGTGTGAGGAGGACTGCTCTGCCGAGTGGAAACGTTTGTTTTCTGTCTCTCTCTCTCTTCCATTGGAGTGCGCGTGCGCGCGCGCGCTTCTCCTCCAGTCAGCCCAACGCGGTTCCTGAATATTCATGATAGTGGCTCTGAACGTCAGGACGCAGCGGCGGCTCTTCCTCCTTGTCAGAGAGGCTGCGAGAGAGGAGAGAGGAGAGGAGGGACAGCATGCCACATCGCTCGGCTGCATTTCTCCCACCGACAGCTGAATCTGCCCCCAACCACTCTCCAGGCTGCGGCGGCGGCTCGGCTCGGCTCGGCGCTGCGATGGACTGACGGGAGGAGGGAAGCAGCGAAGCAAGGGAGAGATAGAGAAACGCCGCCTTCTTCTTCTTCCTGTCCTCTTCTCTTATTTATTTATCTTAAAAAGCGAGCTCGTGTTTATTGGACGCGCCGTGGGTTCGCGTCTTGAGAGCAGGAGAGCTGGGGAAGAGGGGGTGGGGAGAAAGCGGCGACGGCGAGGAAATGCTTCGGGACAAGCGGCCATGAGCGGAGAGAAGGAGAGAGGGAGAGTTACCTGCACAATGAAGGAGACACGTCGGGGTTAAGAGGAGCTGGCGACTTCCCACGTTGCTGGGAGTGGGTGGGGAGGAAGAGATGTTTTGCAACTGAAGTCCGCTGTTCGGAGGGGATGCGCCTCCCGTGGCGTCAGTATTCGCCTGCGTGGCGTAGTGTTTTGGGGGGAGCCGAGCACGTAAAGCTGTCCCTGTTGAAGCCCATGAACATAATAATAACAACAATAAGCGTCGTACTCCGGCTTGAGCGACCGTCTCTTCCTTTTTCCCTTTTGTTTTTATTTGCTATTTGAATTGCCCTCGGCTCTTGAACTTCCATGACTCCGGGCGCAGCCTCCTGAAGCTGTCCGCGGTGCTGAAATCAACCAGCCGGACGCCGAAGCCTCCGCCACGCCGGGACAACCGCCGGGCTTGACTGGGTCGCTCCGCACCAGATTTTTTTTTCCCCGCCCCACTCTCTTCACTTTTTTTTTTTTTTTTTTTTTTTTTTACATGGCTGTGGCACGCAAAATCAAAACTTTGCTGACCGTCAACATCCTGGTGTTCGTGGGGATCATCCTGTTCTCGGTGTACTGCAGGATCCAGGACCGATCCGAGGAGCTCGTCCAGCTGGGTCGCCTCTCCGACCAGAGGCTGAGAGCCAGGAATGGCAAAGTTTCCAACTTGGTGGACAGGCAGTCGATTCTTCAGCGGCTGGAGAGGCTGGAGGATGTGGTCTACAACCAGCTGAACGGTAGGACTTTGGAAAAGGCGGGGAAGTGTTTTGACTTGAGACGGGTGAAATGACCAAACATGAAGATAAGAGGGGCAGTCAAAAGACTAGGATATCACTTGTCTTCTTTTTACTAAGAAACGTTCACATATGATGCTTAGTCTTTTTTTTTCTTCCGAGAATTGATTTAATTGCATTCATGCAGACAAAAAATTCTTACAAAAACTACTTTCTATCCGAGGATCCTGCATTGAAAGTCTAATAATTTCAGTGACATGCTTCATGCAGTCAGATAGCAATACCCGACATCTGTCTGATCAACAATTTCTGAGCTGATTCTTTTTGTTTTTGAACTGATGATCTCACTTTTTTCTTTTCTCAAGCACCTTCTTAAATCCCATGTTATTTCAAAGTGGGATCCAGGCTGCAGCAACACGTTCCCAAACTATGACAGTTCTCGCTCTGTGCTTCACAGCTGCTCCGAGATCACGTTCTTAGAACGTTGTTTCTGGAGTTTGAAATATTAAAAGATCAACCCATCTTGTCTTAATGATAGTTTTACATAAGTCCCAATTTTTGTCTGCCTTTTTTTCTACCTGTGTTGAAAATGTAGTCTAGCCTTCATGTTTTCCTTATGATGCAGCTGTTCTCTCCCATTGAATTTAAACTTCTGCGCTCTCTTTCTGAATGCGTAAATGCGTGTTATAAAATGAACAGAAGCGACGCTTGCTCGACTCGGACAGCCGGATTCGGGCATGTCAGCAGCTGCTTTGGACGTCCTCGTCTTGCAAAACGACTTTCAGTAAAGATCAGAATGACTGATTTGAAATTCTTTTGAGACCTATTTTAGGTCTGCCTGAGGTGCAGTGGCTTATCTGCTTCTGAATGCTCTACACAAACTGTTTCTCCCTTATTTTTTTGTACTGTCCATCGTGTTCACTGCCAGAAATGCCGACTTTTTATACACAGGAAAAGTCCTTCAAAAATGCTGAGGAATGCTGTTCTAATGATGTGTCTAATTGGAGACATTTTAAGTGGGTATGCATATAGGGATGTTGCATTTTACAGTTTTTGGAATTTATTTGTGCCGCTTGAATTTCTCAGTGTTGCTATGATTGATGTTAAACGTCTCTACATCCAAATACAAAAGAGAAACAGCCTCCTGTTATTGACATCACTGCATAGCCTTTCTGAACTGTACAATATCTTGTCAACACAAGCTTGCAGTCTCATGAGTTTGGCTTTATTTGGACCACAATTCATGGACCTGTGTTTTATTTTGTAATCTTGGGGCCTCATTTTTTATTTTTGTGAAACACTGAAACATAACTACACACATGAAACTGCATTGACCGGGTTGGTGAGTTTTGGCGGGTGGCCTATTAGGAGCCTAATGAAGCAAGGCTCTCGATGAGAGTGCGATGCCGTCTGCGTGTGCTGTCTGTTCAGACTTTACTGGACTATATTCTTTTAACAGCCTTCCCAGTAAATGACTTGTTGTAAAGTTCACAGTGACTGTAAGTGTTTGTGTCGGTAATTGCGTGCACATTACATATTTAAATAACAGACGTCTGTCTACATGTCAGCAGCATCACCTGCAGATAATTTTCACCAGAAGACTGGTGATTTGATCTTTTCCATATTCTGTCATGGTAATGTTTACTATGGCAGGGAGACATAAAAAAAAGCTCCAAAAACTGTGAAGCAGAGCTAAAAAGATTCAAAATATTTTTACAGTTTTAAAAAAATGAAAATCTGGTTTCCGTTTGTGTTTTTTCGCTGCCATTAGCTACTAGACTTTACTGATCAAAAGGAGCAGGAATTTTTGTTGCCTAGTTTTCTTGGGAGAAAAGCACAAGTGGAGTCAGACTGTTTGTCGAGTGTCCGTGGACATCAGTGGTCAAACCTCGCTAGCTAGATTCTGGTCCAGACTTTGACTGGGGCATTCTAACTTACAAAGAAACCTTCATCTTAACTAGGCTTGCAAAATGTTAAGTACATTTGTAATTGCAATACTTCTAATTATGATTCTAAACATACTTTTTGAGTTGTCTTCTTTAAAATTGCACAATTTTCCCCATCTTCCCTGAGCTTTAGCACCTCAACCACGAAAGGCAACCACCATATTTGGCACTAAGGCCAGTTACACTCCCTGCACCATATATTTATAGAATTTTATTTTGTACTGTTTAGCTAAATGTTGCATCAAAACAGTCCTTTGTGATTGCAGTAACATATAGACTGATATTACGCTAAATATTATACATGGCTACATTGATTGAATGTATCTTTGGCGTCATAGTCCGACTAGAAGGTAAACCTCTGTCTGTTCTGAAACCATGTACTTTCTTGTTCCTTCTTTTTTACCATTAGGAACAACTTTATGTTTGTCTGTCAATGAAAGGCAAAGAACAAAACCAAAAAAACACAAGTTTGTTGTAGTAAAATCTTAACAGACATGAGGTGTTTTAATACCTTAACACTGAATAAACAATCCAACCCGAATGTCAAGACCACTACTGGCAGCTGAAGTGCAGTTTATTGTGTCTGCTGAATTTGTGGGTGCTATCTTTTTGTCATTCTATAGGAAAATCCTTTATGATAGCATTTAACACTTGGGATGTATCCCATGTGCTGACCCAGTTTTCATTTTCTTAGTAAACCAATTAATGGTTTAGACGTAACTAATCAAAGTGTAAAAACTGTGTAGAACAATGCATTATCTTCAAATATACCCTTTTCTGTTATACTGAAAAAACTTAAGTGCCTGTCGGGGAGGTTTTCCATTCTGTCTTCTGTGCATCCCGCTGTTGAAACGAAAGAAACTATTTCTTATTGAATAAAGTATTTTTTTCTCTCTCTCTCGCCATGCTGCACTCGCCCACAGAACAAGTAAAATGTTCTTAATTTTCGACTCGTACAGCGTCGCTTTATTACATTACATCAGCTTGGATCCAGCAGCGTTGCTGATGGAAGACTGATTCGCTGATTAAAAGAAGAAGTGAGATGGCAAATTGCAGATGTTTCAAAAGGTATATTCCAGCTAAAATGTGTCATTTCAGACATTCGGTAACTCTGCTAAGCTGTAGCAGATGTGCTTAGTTTATAAAACTTTAAGCACCTATATAAAGACAAAATTATTATCTGACTTATTACTTGCTGCTCAGTTAGTCTGAATAATATAGTCAGTAAATAACACAAAGTCTGAATGCATGCAATGCAGGAATATGATCAAATATTGTTTAATCTCTTCTAATACTGTGTCTAATAACAATTTGAAATCTAGAGAAGATGGCATTGAAACAGTTTCAGAAAATATATTTGGTACTTTAAGTTATTACCAAAAACTTAAATGTTTTAACTTTAAGTGTGGCAACTATACACAATTCAATCTGTATCGACTCACACAGAGAAAAGAAGCAGTTAGAAGATTTTAATCAACAAATTCTTTGGCGCTCGAACCCGGCAGAAGACTAGCGAGCTGAGGATTGCCGAGGGTAGATGATGAGTCCGGCGAAGCTCACTAGTCTTTGCCCCCGGTCCGAATCCTGGTGATGGAGCGGAGCCTTGGAGGAGGAACGAAGAGTGGGCCTGGAGGATGTTCATCGGGCTGAAGGTGGAGATGGGGAGGAGGCGGGATGAAGCACGGCTGACGAGCAGGCAGACACCCGGTGGCTAGGCTCCTTAAAGGGACTGGCTTAACGATGATTGGGTGGTGCGGCACGAGGCGCCGATCCTGGTTGGCTGCGGCGTGTCATGAGTGATGGGGATCAGCTGTGTTCTGTCTCCCAGCTTGAATTTACGCCTAGGCTTCATTACATATATTAATTCTATAATTAGAGGTAACGTAATCAAATGATTAGACAACAACAGAAAACCAGAATTAAGCAAAACCATAAGAGACATTTTGTTTCAAGCGATTCACACTGAGCCTCTTGTCCCCATTTTTATTTTCATGAACACTTATTATTTTATTCCACTTTAAATGTTGCGGCAGGGAGAACCATTAGACATTTCCATCTATGAAAGACTGCTCCCATGTCTCCTTTACTAAAACATATTAAAGCTAGCATTAAAATTTCTTTTCTTGTCTTTTTTAGGGTACTTAAAAAGCTCTTACAATGGCTCCTGGACAGACGACACAATTAAACCAAAACTAAACAACAAGAGCCATTGTTTTGTTTTCACAGAGTGAAGGTTTCATGTATCTTCAAGTTGAAAATAATTTTTAATGAGTGAAATGTTACAGTTTAGATTGGACTGTGTTGTTTTTTTTCTTTCAGTGCTTAATTTCAGTGCAAATGTCAGAGGTTTTGAAATGTTTTCGATTCTGTTTTCATGAGCAGAGTAAAGGTTTTATACATCAGAAACTTTGTTCTGGGGTATCTCATTTCAGTGCAGAGTAGAGAAAATTACAAAAAAAAAGACAGTGAAATAGGCCTTTACTTTAGCACAGAAGCTGTTTCTTATCTTTTACATTGTTCAATAACAAATTTATGGCATTTTTAAAATGCAGCATTTTGTTGGACTAGATTTTATTTTGTTTTAATATGGTGAGATCTTGTAACATCTTTGTCTTTAAACCTGTGAATTTTCACCAGGTTAGAAAATATTTTCAATTCAATGCGAGAATGCAATACATACCATATTGTCCAAAATGTATTTTGATAAAGAAACATTCATCATATTCCAAAAACCCTTTGATAGGGGAGAAATTATATAAAAATATGGATTTAAAATTGGCCGTGATTTTAGTTCACCACATATGTATGTCATTCAACAATAGTTGCCAAAAGTGTTACATCCAAATAAAAATAGATTCTTTGGAGCATGGTAAAACCTAATGTTTGACAGAGGAGAAAGGTTGCAGCTTAGTTGTTGAAGTTGCAGTATCTCATCATCTTACATAGTTTCACAATAGTCATTTTTTAGTCTGTTTGCTTCACATTTACAAAGTACAAATGCAGGCTTTTCTGTCCTGGATCCTGTTATAATGCTGGATCTTCTGCACAATTCTGAGG